AAAATATAAAGACATCAATTAATAGAAAACAAATATTGTTTTGTAATGTCTTCAATTAAAATTCTTTCATTCTCAAAATAGAAAGTCGAGACTATATAATAGATGATTAAGATAATAAAACACAGTATGGACAATACATTACAATCTATTAGAGAATTTAAATCATTATTAGTGAACAATCGATTTATTGATAAAGAAAAAAGAATAGAAGATTTTAAGTTAATAAAGAAAATAAAAATTAAAAAATAATTTAATAGAAAATTTTCAATTTTTGTCTAGATGGAAGTTATTTAATTCGTCGATTTCAAAATCAAATTTCATCACTTTTTATTAATATGAGACCGCATGTACAACTAAGTGATGGATGGGGACATCCACAGAAAAGAAATATATTTATATTTATTAAATTCTGTACTCGATTCAAGAATTTACAATGTTTAAATTTCAGTTCATCTTGTGATTATGAACAATTAACATTTACTAGCATAGCTCCAACTGAATTCTCTTCGAATTTATTAGAATTACATGTTGTAATAAAAACTATCATAGATTGTCTTTGTTTGCTTGATGGTCAGTTCAATCAACTGCATACGCTTTATGTTACGATTCGTCCTCGTGGATATTGCGAGTGCCCACTGGTTCGAAACGATGTAAGTTACTCATATTAATCATTTTTTTATTCAATAAATGAATAATATTTACGTATATTAATTTTTCTTTTGTGTTTTTAGACGAAACTGCCCAATTTACAATGCTTTTCGCTAATCCATGAAGGTCGAACATCAATGTATGATGAAATATTTGTTCCACTTTTACGTAGAATGCCAAATTTAGAAGAACTTAGTTTATATTTTGTCAGTACACGTGGATCAATTATTGATAGTGATAATTTGGAAAAAAATATTATTAATCATATGACAAGATTGAATAAATTTACATTTAATATTTGTTCAGCTATTTGTCTTGATCAGTTAGTTAATTTATCATCAAATGAAAATATTCAAAGTGCATTTAGAAATTTTCAAAATAGTCAAATTATTTCATTTGTTGATTGTTTTTTAGAATCAGACTTATATTATTATCATATTTATACATATCCATATACATGGAACTTTTTTAATAATATAACAAATAATTTTCCTGGCGGATTATTTAAATATGTTCGTGAAATATCATTACTTGATGAACGTCCATTTCAACATGAATTTTTTCTTCGAATTGCTCA